GGTTGAGCTATAGGCGCCGAGCCTTCAGAATTGCTTTCTACTTGACCAGCATCCCCAACCATTTCTAAGCTGTACCATCGGGTAGAATGGAGGCCAAGTAGTCCCTTGTCCGGAGGCGCCACAATTCATTTAACTGTTCACCTCATTGTGAAAAGTTTGATTGCTTTAAATTTCCCACTGCTATAAAGAATCCTTTCCAAGGGGCCGTCTCTCTGTCCTTTAGAGGGGCTTTCCTTGCCCGGCCCCTGGCCACCTTCTCGTCACTTGTCCCCAGCATCTGCTTCTCCCTCCTTTAAGGTACAAATTGAAGAGCGCCTGGAAGCGAAGCCTCATGTGTGTGGGTGGGGAGGAAGTCTTATTACTCATTCTACAAGAAACCTGGGCTAGGCAATACCAAATCAAATCACCTTTGCCTTTCTGGAAGTTTCTAGCCAAGTACCTGGTGTTGGGGAGCACTTACCAAGTGAGCGCAAGCCTGGGTTTTAGAAGCCATCATGGTAGCGCATAACCAAGGGCACAGGTGACACAGGGGCTGCAGGGAGGAAGAAGGGTAATACTCACTGCGGAGGGCAGCTGGAGGCTCCAGGGGACAGCGGGCCCCACTAGCTCTCAGGGTGTGGGGAAAGGGCTGGGCTGCTCTGCCTAGGATGAGGGGCAGGCCTTCTGTGAGTTCTGAGCAGACAGCCACCCAGCACATATACCAAAAAGGAAGCTAGGCCACCCCAGCCTGTGTTGTCACTGGTGGGGTAGCCTGGGAGGGTGGGGAGTCACCAGCTGTAGCTTGCAGCAATCAGCACAAGCATTTGCAATCAGAAAGAAAAATCTAAGAACTACTGGAATAAAGGGAAACCATCTGCTCTGAAAACGCACACACAGACTGATAATCTAAGGGTGAATTTGCTTCCTAAATAGCACGGCCACTTACAGGGAATGGGGAAATGGGAACTCCCACAGAGAGAAGTCAGCCTTGTCGGGCATGCCAGAGGGGCACATCTGTAAGATTTTTGTAGGTGGAATTACCTGAACAGGCCCGAATGAGATTGTCATCCCCAGCAGTGTCCATCACAATATACAGGGGTCATTACAAAAGTTTAGAGACATCCAAAAATCAAGAAATGTGAAATCCACACAGACAATGAAACCCTCCCAGAAAGGACATGTCAGCTGTGTTTCTTATAAGGGAAATCACAGACCATAACACAGTCCATCTCCAAACTTTCATGGTGACAAACCTATACCCTTTTGGTCTTGACAGGGGTATCAGAACCTCGGAGAGCTGCACTGTTTAATACAGTAGCTACTGGCCACAAGTGCCTACTTAAATTTAAATTAGTTCCCGACACTCTGGGAAGCCAAGGCAAGTGGATTGCTTCAGCTCAGGAGTTCGAGACCAGCCCAAACAAGAGCAAGACCCCATTTCTACTAAAAATAGAAAAATTAGCCAGGTGTTGTGGTGGGCTCCCTGCAGTCCCAGCTACTCCGGAGGCTAAGGCCAGAGGATCTCTTTAGCCCAAGAGTTTGAGGTTACTGTGAGGTATGAGTGGCCTGGGCAACAAGTGAGGCTGTCTCAAAAACAAAATTTAAATTCACTAAAACATTAACTAATTTCTCAGTTGTGCTGGGCAGGTTTCAAATGCTCAATAGCCACACAGAGTTCGTGGCTACCACACGGACAGTGCAGATGCGGAACCCTTCCGTCATCACTAAAAGTGCTACTGGATGGCAGGCACCGTGCTGGAAAGACTGCACATGGTGTGTGGCCAGGACCACATGATGTGCCGGGGGCACACGCACCCCCAAAGTGGGGAAATCCAGTAAAACTTTATATGTCAGATACATTACCTCTAATAACACATTACATTTTATTAATCACAAGTGTCTGATAAAATCTGAAAAAGGCTAAACATACAAACTGTTATACTTTCACTGAGGCTCACAGGTGAAGCCTTTCCATCCACAGCTATTGCTGTGTGAATAGAGATTCCCTGTCACCAGGATGACAAAACCCCCTTTTTAATATTTGTTCTGGGGAAAAATCAGAGCCGAGCGCTAGTGAAGGCCGGTGTTCTCTTTGCCGTGTACGTGTCATGCTGTGAACGCAGCGCTGCCCTCCAGAGCGGTGCCCACAGACACAGGGCACAGCCATCACCATCAGCTCGTACACAAAGAAGGGACAGAGAAAGGCAGCTGGATTTACTGTCTCACGGGGAGAAGGCCGACTAATAGCTCCCTGAGAAAGGTAGAGACCAGGAACAGTAAGAACGAAAGGGCTGGGTGATTCATCAGCCTGGAGAGAGCAGTGGTATGAGTGCGCCCTGAAATTCCCTTCTCTGCTTGCCTCGCTCCTTGAGCATAAATAGTGTCTAAAGCGGTACGTAACTGACAATCAGCCAGATGCACTGCCCTTTTCTCTCCTCCCAGTTTATGGCAAATAATGACAAAAAAGGAAAGGGTAGTGGGGGAAGCAAATGTTCCCTCCTCTGTCTTTCTGGCTGAACTGGTTTCTTCTCCCATGTTCAGCGGCGCCCTCGCAAAGCTCTCCCGGGTGAGGAAGGTGCCATGCATCTCTGTGCACTTGACTCTGGCTGCTTCTTCCTCAGGTAAGAGCATCCCAGGTAGACGCACTGCTTGCCCACCAGAGAGTTGGGGAGAGGCTGGGGTGGATGAGGGGTGGGCTGGCGGTCAGGGAAGAGGATGACGTGCAGCAGGGGAAGACTCGCTTCTCCACGTGGCCCCTCAGCCCACGTGCGGCAGGGCAGCTTAGGGAGCATCCTTCTGTCTCTTTGCTGTGTTTCTCTCTTGCCAGCTGGAATCCACAGGGAGGCTGCAGGTGCCCTTTGATAAGGGATATTTCTCTCTTTGCATTCTCACCTGCTAAAGGTGAGTTCTAGAGGGCAGGACAGTGTAAGTGTCCCCTGGGGACCTGGACCAGGTGCTGTACCTGGCAGCTGAGGAGCATGTGGGTCATAATTGCAGAAAAGAAGCTGAAGCCCACAGCTTCTGGTATTTACAACAGAGAAAAGACCCAGGTCAGTCCTGGTGCTGGGCCAACGGAAGTGCCAAGTCTGGGTTTCCTCTTGCTGGCACCTGTATACTGTCTAATACAGTCTCTAGCAGAGAAGAAATTAGATATTTAAAACTATTATAAATTTGTAATCATCTTCCTCCTTCGTCTTCCATACATAATGGAAAAGTCATATTTCCAAAGCATATTGGAATCTTTGGCAAAGGACAATGCTTTCCTTCTATTCTTCATTGATTAAAGGCCTTATTTTGACTTGAAAAGCCAAACGAGGCCAGGCACGGTGGCTCACCACATCTGTAATCCTAGCGCTCTGGGAGGCCAAGACGGGTGGATTACTTGAGCTCAGGAATTTGAGACCAGGCTGAGCAAGAGTGAGACCCTGCTCTCTCCCAAAAATAAAAATTAGCCTGGCATTGTGGAGGCTGCCTGTAGTCCCAGCTACTGGGGAGGCTGGGGAGAGCAAGAGATTAAAGTTACTGTGAGCTATGACAGCACAGCACTCTACCCAGGGCAACAGAGGAAAGAAAAGAAAGGAAAAAGAGAGAGAGAGAGAGAGAGA